TAAAATTGCTTGATTATATACCATATCAATAATATTAAAAGTGAGATTAAATAAGAAAAAAAATGTCTGTAAGCATTCATATTTTCACCCTCCACATTCAACAGGAATTGCAAACTTATTCTCCTCATTAAGTGGAGAACCAGGATTGAATATATAACCTGCCATTATGATGAAACGTCTCTCAGATCAGAGGGAATACTTTATATTAAAGGGCTATCAGCCTCATATTCCAAACCCACTGCATATCTCAAGACTCTATACTTAATTTTAGATAGCTTGTAGTCTTTCCAGCAGATTCTTGAATTCTGATGAGAAAGGTCAATTCTGTTTGAAATGTTATTAAGTAATGGCACTACCAAGTTTGAGACCCCTGGTTTTATCTATGTTGATGTGACTTACCATGATTTTTATCTTTATAAAAATAATAGAACTTTTTAAAACACAGTACATCCTGCTTATTAACTGCTTTGACACTTTTCATTTTGAAAAGCTAACAGGGCAAATCACTGTGAAATTGGTTGTTGCCTACTTCAGAGAACTTCCTGGGTCTACACCTCAAAAGAGAGTTGAGATGGGGAAGTTTGCCTTGATGGCCTCATCTGCCTCATGAACAGCAGTCTCTGTATATAGAACATGCCCGTATGCAGAAGACCCTGCTGCCAGATGAAGCAGAACAGCTGTTTTAAGGGGGGGAATCCTACTTTGATGAAGGCATTTGCGGGAATGCTTTGCTCAAGTTATTATTGAAGAAAAGCATCTCTATATAGCCATGCTGGTTTTGGACAATTTATTTATTTATTTATTTATGAGACTTATATACCGCTTTAAGTGCAAGCACTCTCTAAGCGGTGTACACCAGTAAGCAATGTATATGTATATATATATTTACATTGCCCCCAACAATCTGGGTCCTCATTTTACCTACCCCGGAAGGATGGAAGGCTGAGTCAACCTTGAGCCGGTGAGATTTGAACCGCTAACCTGCTGAACACAGTCAGCTAAAGTGGCCTGCAGTACTGCACTCTAACTGCTGCGCAAGATAGTCCTTGAATTACAACAGTAATTGGGACCAGAAGTGCTACTGCTAAGTGATGCAGTCATAAAGCATGTTGTCATGTGACTGCATTGCTTAGTGACAGCATTAACCAAATCCTACCAGATGTTAGGCCTTCTTGGCTTGGTCCCTTTCAGTCCCGATCCTTGGTAAAATATCTCTACCCTCATTTTTCCTCTTTTGACCACTCTGTCCAGTGGCACTCCTTCGTGGTGGCAGCACCGGGGCAGAGGCCCAGGTGTCAAGGGCTGGGGAAATCAGGAGATCCAGGCAGTTCAAATGGGTATAAAGATTTATTGCAAGCTTAAGGTCTCTACAAGAATCTGAACTACTAACAGCCCAAGCAAAATGGTGGTAGTTAAGAGTCAGAGGAATTCAAGGTGGGTTGGACTTAGATCTCTTGTGAGCGTGAAGAGACTCATGACTGATGATGGGTTTGACCCCCTCCCTCAGGCTTAGCCTAGTCATCTCCTACAACAGAGCAGTGGCAGTTTCAGCCGGCTGCCACCATCTTCTGGGCTCTATTTTAATCTCAGCACCACCAAGCAGAACCACCTCAAGCCCCATACTGTGTGGCCAGTCATTCCAGTGCCACAGTGCAAAGCCCCAGTCAACCCAGCTGGCCTGCACTCCTCAGGCCTTGCTGTGTCCAGCTGATCTTTACCATCTTCCTGTGTGACACATCTGCTGGCCATTTCTTTCTGAGGCTGCTCACACTGTTCTCCAAATAACACACACCATTCCCCAAATGGGGTGTGCCATTCTCATAATGCTTCAGAAAGCCTTCAGAAAACCTTTGAGGCCTTGCAAAGCATCACAAGAACAGTGCATTGTGCTCCAAACATGCTATTTGGAGAACAGGGTAAATGGACTTGGGAAGAAGGCCTAGCACAGCCAGCCTCACAAAGGGTCAGGCCAGATGCATCTTGTCAGCACTGGGAGGAAAACAATGAAGGTTAGTTGGATGCAACAGGGCCTGCAGAGCGCAGGGTGACAGAGCGGCTGGGGTTTTGCACTATGGAGCTGGAATGCCTGGCTGCAATGAGAGTCTGAGGTAGCACTTCTTGGCTGAAGTAGTAGCCTGTGGGTGCTAACATCTGGCTAAGATTGCTGAAGGCCCCAGGTATCTACATCAGACCCAGCACCATCATCAAGAGTGCTGCTGTGCAGGACAGCCAAAAGGGATAAGATGGAGGGTATGTGTGTGTGTGTGGAAATGCCCCTATAGTCATAAGTTCTAGTGATCTGCCAAGCACCAAGATTTTGCTCACAGGACACTGGGGGCACTGCAATGGTCATAAATTTGGGGAGTGGCATAAGTATTATTTGTTCAGTGACAATATGACTCTCAGCAAATGGTCATATTGTAAGGATGACTACCTGTATTGTTATTGGAAACAATAAGATCCTTTCCAGATAATATGATTCCCACACAATCTAATTCAGTATTAGATGGTTTAATAATACAATGAACCCCCCCCCCTAAAAAAAAGTGCTCTTGGTTTTAACAGTCAATCTCAGTTGCTTTCATCCCATAACTTAGATTTTCTTCTAAATTCTTACAGGAAGGAAGGGAGGGATTTAATTTCCTGCTGTGATTCTAGAGCAAGAACTTACTTCATTGTCTCTTCTTCATTTGCTCAAAACAATTTGGTTTATTTGAGGAGTACTTAATATAAACTATGTCAGCCTGGACCAAGATTAATTCCCACAATGTTTGGCAAGAAAAAGATTAATTACTAGGTGGTGAAGACTGAGGTAGAATAATGTGGGATCCAGAAATATATTAATGTTTTGGGGAAAAAAAAATCTCCAGGGACAGGTTTCAACCCTAAACAAAAAACAAAACAAAACCCCAAAACAAGATAAAAAGGGAGGCATAAAGAGAATTTGTCTTTTGTCACTTATTTCCTGTTCTGTTCTCCACACATGGGAAGCTGGTTAATGAGCAGAAATTACACAGCATCAATCTTCATATTTCACAGAGGGATAGAATATGGAAAATTTTCCATTTCTGTCTTCATGCAAAAATCCTGCCCTCAAGGTACCCCAGAGCCTCTAAGTATCAAATAATTGCCAATCTGTCATTTTAATGGACTCAGCTAATTCCTCAATCCTTCTCTTCCCCTGGCCACACAATGCTTCCTTACTCAAAAAAAGTGTTCTTGTTTGTTTTCATAAGATATTGGCTCTTCAGATTGGTAAATATTTAACAGCTTTATTAAGGTCATCCCTACCACTCAGCCACACTAATCATGCTAATTTATAGCTATAAGGTAGTATAGTATGAGAAGATTTAATCAACATCTGCAGCAGGCAACTGAATTATTCAGTGTCATTTTTATTCAAGCTATAAGTCTCAGAGGCGAGAGAGGATATTTTGAGTTTTCATCTGCAGAGGGTGAGAGAACTCTGACCCTGGTGATGGGAAATCTAACATTAAACAAACAAACACCATTTCCTCCTTCCATTTCTAGAGCTGATTTTTCTGGCAGCAGAGTTTCTGCTTTGGGGATGAACCAAAAAGACATATCTTGGGAATCATCTGCTTAGATTCTTTTCCTGTCCTGGATTTAACACAGAGGGCATTTTCACACATTAACCAGATGCCTAAGAGACAATCAGCAAATAGTTCCTGGCAGATATTTCTACAGGTGGCTCACAATTTGCAATCCATGGTTTCTGGAGAGGGATGGGACAGCACTGGGAAGCCCATTTCAGGAAATGAACTATGTGTAGAGTCTATTGACACAATCCTAGGAGAAAACGTGACCAATATTGTGTTGAGAGTAAGTACATGAGAAGACCATCTTCACTCCTTCAGCTCAAAGATAGTCCAAACTTTTTCAGGTAAGAAGCAGTTAGAGAAACAACTAATGGTTCCCAGCCTGCCCAAACAAATACACTACTACTAGGAAAGGCAAAAGAACCAAGGAAAATATTCCTCAATTTTATGCCATCACTCATGGGTCACAAGATGATGGGGGGGGGGAGGTACATGGGGCAACATACTCACAGTTGGATGAAGAAATGCTCTGGCATTCACAGAAAAACATGAGAAAAAATCCTGCCATTCCTCAACTTCAGATACAAAGAGAAACAGCTCAGGATGAAGGAAACATCCTGACCTTCCCATTGGGGAGGAATCAGCCAGGCACAAGCTAGATATCTGGAGTGCTGGAAATATATCTCAAATATGCTGTAGAAGGGTGAAAAGCCAATGGCCTATTTGTCTCTATTATCAGCAGGCTGCTTTCTTTTGGCAAGGAACAGCTTCTCTTCAGCACACCCCTCGCCAAGAATAAGGCCCATCAACCATGGTAGAATGTGAGGTTCCTCAGATGGACATCGTGAGATCATAAGGTGACCAACTTTTTTACAATGAAAAGGAGGACACAAATAAATTGAAGAAAAAATATCGTAAATAAAAAAACATTTTATTCATTGCAACAATAATATAGATAACTTGCATGTGCAAAGTTTGCCGGCCGGGTGTTTTGGCGCATGTGCAAAGTTCCTGCCAATTCTCCTTCGCTGCAGACAACTTACATGTGCAAAGTTTGCTGGCCAGGTGTTTTGGCGTGCTCAGCAGCAATTCCTATTGGCTTTCGAAAGCCAATAGTGGGAATAGCACAGCTCATGCAAAAGTTGAAAAAAAACCATCAAAAAAGGTGCCGGAACGCCGTTCTGAGCATTCTATGAGGGGAAAAAAAGCCCTGCAGATTAGTCTTCAAATATTGAAAAAGAGGACATGAAGGAGGACACTTTTTGAGGGAGGACAGAACTTACAAAAGGAGGACTGTCCTCCCTAAAGGTTGGTCACCTTATGAGATCATTGCAATCACTGCAGACATCTAGCAAAATCTACTGAGCTGTCAAAAATCCCAGAAGTGAATACCTGAGCTTCCTTTGATTTTGTTTTCTCCCTTTTCCCTTTTCCTTTTAGGAACCCCCAGGTGACAGCGGTGGCAGCAGCAGCTGGAGCAGCAGCAAAGTGGCAGAACCCCTCCCACAGACCTGAAATGTCGTCTCTCAGAAGACTAAACTGGCACCGGAAAAGGATAGCACCCAAGAGAACTACATCTGTCTCCTTTAATTATCCCGTGTACATATTAGTCAGTGGAAATGCTTTATAATTTCTATAGCTAAGGCCAGCTAAGCTATAGAAGACCAGGTGTGCATAAACACTCTCCCTGAAGTTAGCCAGGCAAATTCAAATCATGTACACTGTGACGGGGGGAGGGAATGTATTGAATTTCCCCAGAGGAAAACAAAAATTATATAGATCTTGACTGTTATGATTCATCCACATTGATACCTCTGGAGACTTACTGTTTTTGTCTGTCTTGAAGAGGACTTTTCATCAAATGGCATTGAATTGATACGTTTCCATCTTTTGTACTAAGGTGAGAATGTACAAGTTCCAATATTTGATTTCTGCAAGTACTTTTGTGCCCATATATCACTGATGACTATGTGAGTGTCCTTGCTTCCCCACCCCCCAAAATACTAGTGATGTGTGCATAAGTGCTTGCAGGATTTCATTTCCGCATGATACATTCTGACCATGTCCTTAAAAAGACATTTGATCTCAATACATTTAGTCTAGATTTCAAAATCTGCACCGTGAGACGAGGCTTAGTCTTGTCTTCTCATTTACGCTTTTCTCTCCTGCTATCTCCTCTGGACTGGAGTTTCTCTGGAATTATATGAATTGTGCTTGCAGTCCTCACTGTTCTTAGTTTTGTATTCCATTACAATGTTTTTTTCCCCTTTTACAAAACTAACTTTAGAAGTCTTGCGATTGTAGAAGATTTAGCCAAAGTTTGAATACATAAAACACCTGAAACCAAAAAATGATGTATTAAAAGAACAAATCAATATATTAATTTATAGCTATTTCATGATGCCTAAGAAATTCTCTGTGTGGGTTGAGTTGAATCATTTCATCCAGTCCTACATATGTGTTGGCTTTCTGAGGTCTTATTGGGCTTCTTACAAAAAGGTGGACGTGGAAGGACATTCTTCGTTAGATCTCATCTCTTGTAACAGAATAAATCCCATGTAAGTGAATGAGATTTATGTAGGTCTAACTGTACATAGGTTTATTGCTGTGGAGTTGGCAATATTGTGCCCAGATAGGTTTGGGATAACAATCCTTTTTTTTAATCTTTCCTTTTTTAACGCTTTCCTTCAAATTCCTGTAATTAGATCTGAAAGGATTTCTGATAGGATTTTTGTGTTCACATGACCACCAATCAACTCCAGCAAGTAGCACTGCTACCTAAGTAGAAGGGGAAAATCTGACCGTTGGCTGACTTGGCTGTTCATTTAATAGAGAACAGATTTGGAAAAATCAGAAGGGAATCCTTCATGACATGGAAATAAGGAATCAGCCAATCTGCCATTAAAATATAAGAATCTAGACTGGTTACAAAATATGACAGTTCTAATGCTTATAAATACACATTTTTTCCTGCTAAAAGGGACTCTACTACTACTAAATTTCACCACATTCCTCAAAAAATATGACCTTAAATTCTGAAAGTCATCTACAATAACACCATGATCCCATATCACAATCTAAATGTATTTTGAAATTCATTTTCAAAGTACGATGATATTTCTGGAAGGAAAATACGTGCACATTAATTTATCCCTGAAGCAATATGTTAGCCCTTAAAAATTTGGAGCTATATTATTTCAATCCATAACAATTTGTCTTCTATCTCTCTCCCTCTCTCCATCTCTCTCTCTCTCTCACACACACACACACACACACATACATGCACACACACACACACACACACACACACACACACACACACATACGATGGTGGGAAAATCCTGACCGTTACGTTGCATACATAGACTAAATTACTTTAGTGAATACTCTCGGTGTGGGTGTGTATGTACATACACACAAACCAGACAGTTTTGACTAAAGTAATTTTATTATCAATGAAAAAGGGATAGCCAAGCAAGAATGCAAAAGAAAAGCAAAAACACAGCATAATCTTGCCTATAGCAAGCTGGTGATGGAAATATAAAATGAACTGAAAAACTCAAAGCTTGTGCAGGTCAAAGGCAAAGTAAGAGTAGAATGGCCTTGGCTAGCCAGGGCCCTACCAATGTGATGGGTTACAATTCCCATTGGCTATGCTGGAAGGGGTGATCAGAGTTGTTTAGCACAGCTGGAAGGTACCTGGCTATGACAGTACTTATAGCTCTTTACTGACTCTCCTTCATTTCATTCCCAATTCTTCCAAACTTTGAATTGTAGGGTCCTTGGGAGCAAAAAGCAGTTTCTCATGGGGATTATCTGTTAAACAGCCATGCACAAGAATACGGCACTGTATAAAATAATAAATATTAATACATATAATTTAATATTGTATTTTATAAAATGGGCTTCTGGTGCTATGAACAGTGATTTGTGAATGTTTTCCTCCTTATCGTACTAAGTCCTCTTGTTTATTACCCAACGTACTGGCTGAACCCTGTTGTAATTTTCCTCTGTATTATTTGTATGACTTCTGTATGCTGCCAATATATTGTCGTGATTTTGTTTAATCTTTATACATCAGTTCCTTGTTATAAGTGTTACCATTCTGTGTTGTCTCCATAGAAAATAGAAAATCATCTATGGCAGGATAGGTTAATCCAGAGGTAAGCAATATGGATCCTTCTGGATGTTTTGGATTATAACTCACAATGTCCTTGCCATTGACCATGCTACTTGGGGCTGATAGAAATTGAAGTTCAGTACATTTAGGGATCAACACACTATATCCCTTTGGACTATCCAAGAGTGATCAATTAATATTTTATTATTGTTAATTCTACAGCAGACCAGTCTCAGACTTGTAGATATTCTAATGCTCAAAATAAACTTATAGATTCAGGATTTTATATTGCCCTAACTCTTCCCCTATGTACTTACATAGAGCTGTGATTTCCTTTATATGCTAAACTCCTACAACGCATGCCTTCATTTGCAAAAACATGCTTTTTGCAAGTGTGTATTCCACTTTAAGGCCGTTAAAAACATGTTAAATGAATGCAAGTTTACACACCAAGTGTGCTCCTCTACGAGGCCTGTCCACCACTTATGTGTCTGCTAGTTTTTAATCCTGCTTTTGCTATAGCAAGAGCTGTAGTACGTGGGAAAGTATAATCATGTAGCTGCATGTTTAATCTCCTATGCCAAGAAAAGGAGAGCCACAAGGCAGATCAGTCAGCTTCTAGTTTATAGCATGTGGATGGAAGCTTGTGAGGCAAAATAATGGACTCTGTTAGTCTAGCTCAGAGTCAGCCCTCCCAGGTAAACCAGACAGGAAACGCAACCAGATGAGCTCATTCTATTTTATTGTAAGGCTACATTAACAAGACTTTGCAAAGTGCAAACCTCCCACTGTCACTTTTAACAGCCTGTTACATTAGGGCAGATTCTTTTTAACTTTCTTTCTTTGCCCTTTAAGGCCTTTAAGCAGTTGCAGGCTCCTCCCCTTTTTATCTGATCATTACCTTGGTAGCATCTCTTCCCCTTGTCTCGCGAGGTCATTCTCACATGCCGTTACATCCAGTGCTTCCCGAACATGTTCCTTCATAGCCCAAAATCACTTATTAAAAAGTGTTATCAAAATCTGAGAACCAGTCATAAGTCCTCTTCCTTCAGCACCATCATAACTTCAAACAGCCGCTGAACAAATGGCTGTAATTTGAGGACTACCTGTATCATAAAAATATCATCGCATGATCGTTCAACAAACTACCATTGATAATTTCCTCGATTTTTATCTTAATAAGAAAACTTTGGGAGATTTTCAAATATGTTATGTGTGGCAATCTTTAAGTCAATTTAAATGTCCCTGTTGTGATGGGCAATGGTTTCATGTGCCATTACCCAAAGAAAACCCACTTTTAGCCAATGTGGGGTAATTTATCCAGATTTGGGAAGCACTGGCCTAATCCAATATTTCATCCAGCTACTGCAAGTAACAAAGCACAGGCAATTGGGAGCAAACATGGGCAGTCTAAGGCTGTAGAAGTTGTGTATATCTACTCAAATAATTGCTTTTGCAGCGATTATTGGAACACAGCAGCTGAAGATCAGTGGTACCATTTATAGATAGAAAATCAGTATAAAATAGGTTTCTAAGGCCCTGCCCACTTTGCATCAGCACATTTCCTACTGTGACTTTTATCTCTTCAAACAATAATTAGTTTCGTCAGCAGCCATCCAAAGATTATCTAGTTTTGGTCTGGAGCATATCTATATGGATTAATTGACTCCCTCACTGCAAGGAATTTGAGAGGTATAGTTTTGGACAGAGTGGGCATTGTTTGTTTTAGAATCCTTAGTATCCTTACAAAACTACATTTCCCAGGATTGTAAGTATAGAGCAGGAGGACTGGCATAAAGTGCAAAATAAATAACAATAAAAATATCATTAATTCCCCAACTATTATTAATAGAAATTAGTATTAGCATTATTTGGTGGGAAGAAAAGCCATGACTATTGAATTCTATATGTAGAAATCCCTTTAATATGTTTTGCCTTTTTTATTTAGCTCATAACACTTTCACAGCCCTTCTTCAGTGATGTCATAATGGTATCTCCATTCTCACTGGAGGCAAGGGATGACCATATTCCTGAGCGGGAATAAACTGCCTCTTCCAAAATTAACAAATACATAAGAGAAATAATAAGATGAAGCTAGTATAGCATGGGTTTTTGAGTCACACAATAATTTGTGTTCTCCAATATAAAGTCCTCCAAATATGTTGGATTACAGCTTTCATGGGCCAAGCTTGCCAAGCATGATGTAATCCAACACATCTAGATAATACCTGATTGGGAAAAACTATGACATTTATGCCACAGAGCTGCAATCAGATATAAATTTAAAATTGTGCTAGTTCTGCTAAAGAAGCTGCATTGCAATATTTTTTCTAACCTATCCTTCTATCCTGGATAAACCAACAAGGAAGATAGATATAACATTAAATATATCTTTGTCATTTTCCTTCCTACTTTGAAAATGTGTGTAATGCTTAAGTTGCTATTCGGACCTGAATCATAGACTTGTTCCTTGAACACTTCTATGAAATATTATTTTAACACTTCAGTATCAGTGAGGTCATCTAAAAAGATAAAAAAAATCAAACTCAACTCCCAATGACTTCCTGGAAACTCATCTATGTTAATTCCTTGACAATAAGGCAAAACTAAATTGCCATTTCCTTCTTCTGAGGTAATTATGTTACCAAAAATAAATAGAGCAATCTTTGGTTGAATGAGTCAAAAGCTGACAAGCTAACATGCTAGTCAAAATATTCCCACAGGAATCTATTTCACTTCCTGTCCATTCCCTTTTTGTTGTTCAGTATCACTGTTGTTTAATATCATTCTTGTTAAAGTTGCAAAAGAATTAAAAAACAACAACATTGTTGCCAATATGCAGTACCTTTCATTATTAACACTTTCAGAATAAATAACTAGTAAATACTATAGAACAGGGGTCCCCAACCCCCGGTCCTTGGACCACTACTGGGCCGCGGCATGCTAGCAATCGGGCCACACAAACAAGAAAGCCCCATCTGCGGGATGCAGGCAGCACACAAAACCACACACCTTCCAGTCCACAGAAAAACCTCTCTCCACGTAACTGGTCCCTGGTGCCCAAAAGATTGGGGACCTCTGTTATAGAACTAGTATGATGACACAGAGACCTTGACCCCAATGAGCTTACAATCTAGTGAAATGGACTATTGGTGCAAAGCATCTGAGTGATTCAAGCCGTCACAGAATACATTGAAATTCCGTCTATCTTCTAAATACTCAAGGCAATGTACAGGTAGTCCTCGACTTACAACAGTTCATTTAGTGACTGTTCTAAGTTATAATGGCAATGAAAAAAGTGACTTATGACCATTTTTCACACTTACAACCATTGCAATATCCCCATGGTCACATGATCAAAATTCAGACGCTTGGCAACTGGTTCATATTTATGATGGTTTCAGTGTCCTGGGGTCACGTGGTCACTTTTGGTGATCTTCTGGCAAACAAAGTCAATGGGGAAGCTAGATTCACTTAACAGCTGTGTTACTAACTTAACAACTGCAGTGATTCACTTAACAAGTGTAGCAAGAGTGTTCTGTTTAAAACTATACGCAGTGTGACTGGTATAGGGGAATTTCTTCCGTTTGTTTTAGGAATCCTTGATAGGCTAGAAGCCATTTAAATTCATGGGGGATTGTTGATTGATCAGTGGTGATCACTTTTTGGTTCCATTCTCAGCTTTTGATGCCAAAATACTTATTCTGGATGTGAGTGTCTTTAGCTAAACCACTGGCTCTAATGAGATCACTTGCCTCCAGAGGTTGTGAATGCTCCAACACTGGAAGTTTTAAAGAAGAGATTGGAGAATCATTTGTCTGAAATGGTATATAGCAGTGGTGGCGAACCTATGGCACGGGTGCCAGAGGCGGCATTCAGAGCCCTCTCTGTTGGCACACGCGCCATCACCCCAGTCCTAGGCCTTCAGCTGAGTTTTATAAAACCTTTTTGCTTTAGGCCTCTGCCGCCATGTACAAAAAAAAAAGGTTCCACCAATCAGTCAATTTCAACTTCTCATGGGGAAAAAAAAGATCTTGCAAAGTTGGAATTGACTGATTGAACTTTTTAGTCCCGCCCAGTCTGCCACTGCAGCCATGCCTACCCAATGGGCCACACCTAGCCAATGAGCCACACGCAGCCAATGGGCCACACCCACCCGGCACCCAACGATGCATAAGTGGGTTTTCGGTTGCAGTTTGGGCACTCAGTCTCTAAAAGGTTCGCCATCACTGGTATATAGGGTTTCCTGCCTGAGCAGGGGATTGGACTAGAAGATCTCCAAGGTCCCTTCCAACTCTGTTATTCTATTATTCTATAAGAAAGGTTGTAAAATGGAGCAAAGCTCACTGAACAAATGTCTCACTTAGCAACAAATTTTGAGCTCAATTGGGGTTGTAAGTCAAGGGCTTCCTATATGTCACAGGTGTCAAACTTGACACATTACATGACATGTCACAATATATCACTACTCCTTTTGCATTGCCAGCAGTGGGGTGGACGCAGCTTCCATATGATGAAATGCAGTTTGACACCCATGCTATATGTAGTGATCACCATAATAAGGCTGGGTTGAGAGAGTGACTCCCAAAATCCCCAGGGAAATTTATGGGCAAGAATATTTGAAAGGAGCTTCTCAATAACAACTCCCACACTTTAACCACTGTTGAATCCTGGCCACACAATTGACAGCACATGATTAACAGACCCACAGAAGAAAGAATTAAAGCAAACATTTGGCTGCACAATGGCTAACAGACAGAAAATAAACATTTTCTGATCTACAAAATGCTCTGAAACCATTGGAAAATTTAATACATCTGCTGAAGCTTAAGTGATTGACCTCAGTAATGTCTGCATTGGGAGCTGCACGTGTGAGCTCTTAGCCTGGAGAAACATTTGAAAATTGGAAAGATTAAAAAGTTTTAGAAAATGAATTGGCCCTAATACCAGACATTTTACAGACTGGAAAAGCTATCAGCTGTTTGACTAGATGACTCTCTCTAGTGATCTAGTCAAACACCTCTCTAGTCATCTAGTCCAGCGGTTCTTAACCTTTTTGAACAAATCGCCCCCTTGAGCCAATGAGGAAGTTGTCATCGCCCCCCTCCCCCAACATAACCTCTCAATCACAACACAGGAAATAATTCTTCGATTTATGCAAACATTTTTTTTTGTTTTCTTTAAAATTGTCATCAGGACATATCGATGCAAATAATTTATTTCCAGTTTTTTCCCCATATCTCCCATATTCTGGCCAATGGTGCGCCACTGTATGGGTAGAGGCTGCTGCGCAATGCGCATGAAGATAAGCGATGCGTATTCACATATGTACAGTGTTCTGTACTGAAGCTAGCTGGAGGAACATTTGGAAACACAATTCAATCCACTAATAGCGAGCGATCTGATGTTTTTGTACGACAGATATACAGCCATTCACTGTACGAAAAAGTCTCAAAAGTGTCCCCAAAACTTCTTGCTCCATCGTCCCCATATCGCCCCCTTTTCGTTCCTTCGCCCCCGCGTCGCCCCTTTTCGTTCCATCGCCCCCCTGAAAAATGAAATCGCCCCCTGGGGGGCAATATCGCCCAGGTTAAGAACCACTGATCTAGTCAAACACCACAAAAAAGAAGAGATGCAAGAGAATTCCTGCATAATGCCCTGTCACGATGCCCTGTTTCTTCCTGGACTTCAAAGAAACAGCATACATAAAACATAATACTTTCTTTGGGAACCTGATTGTTGAAGATGGAAAACACCTAGTCGTCCCTATAGGCTGTTCAGCTGCCTGAATACAATCACAGCTGGCTGACTATGGTTGTTTTAAACATAAGAAAGGCTGAAACTCCTCGCTGGCTGTTTTTCTAATAACCTATACACTCTGCCTAGCAATCTAAAGGAGCAGAAATAGAGAAATACCTTGACAGTTACTTTTCCTCGTTATTAAGCTTTCTGCAAAGTCCCAGATATCCCTTTTTCCTTTCAGCTGTTATGTTATTTGCCCCCAAAAGTTAGCCAGCTGTAATTGACTACCTAAAGGACAAAAAAATGAAGGAAGTGGTGAAAAGCTGGCAGGAAAGCTGTATTGTTAAAATCACGTTGCCTTTCATCAAGGTAACACAATTTCCTTATAAAAATTAGAGGGGTTCCAGAGGGCAGGTGGATAGATAGAACAGGCATCTTTCCAAGGTTACATAAAATGATGTTTTATTGAAGGAACCTGGAGCATATTGGAGCCAACAGGACAAGTAGAAACAATGGGGAGGAGTCTTGCACGTAATTTTATGAAGAACAATTAAAAGAACAGGATATGTTTACCTTAAAGAAGAACAGGCTAAGGGGGTAGATGTTTTTCTTTTGCCCATGAGTAGAACATGAACCAATGTCCAACCATCTAATGTATTTACAAAGATCCAAACTAACCAGTGGAACAGCTTCCCTTACTGGAGATTTTCAAACCATTTTCAAACCATATTGGAGGTTTTCAAGCAAAAGTTGGACAGCTAATCGTTTGAGGTGGTCTGGACAGGAATTTGGATTAAAAAATCTCCAAGATCCCATTCAATCCTATGATCAACAAAAGGAATCTCAGAGGAATAGCCCAAGATGGGCATAAATATAATAATTTTTGACATAGGGCCAGAATGTTGGTAAGGGAAAGGTGATTCTGAGTTGTGTGTCACTCTTGGTGACTTCATGAACATATCCATGTATTAATAACAGCCCAGAAAGGTTTTCCCTTTGCCTTTTATGGGATGGTCTCCAAATTATAGCCCTGGTGTTCCCTGATTATGTCCCCTCCAAGGAGATCTGATTCTGCCATACCAAGAGCAGGTGCTGCCACCCGCTAAGACCCAATATTGGTCAAAGTATTATCAAATATTTAACTATCAACATTTAAGAGCTAGAGCAAAAATGGACAGAAGGTAAAGAAAGAGACTCTTATTTTCTGTTTTCTACACCCAGCTGCTATTCTGATTTTTCATGGCACATCTACCTTTTTATTTACTAATTTACTGAATTTGTTATTTTACTCAATTTATTTAATGTACTGGTTCTATAGCAAATTCCTAAATGTGGTTTGACAATTATATGGTAAGTATGAATCATTTCCAGTCATTGATCACTCTTTGTGTTAGGGCAACAATTGCTAGGGTCCAGTTCTCCTGCTCCTTATTATTGGTCCAGGAGAACAGGGCAAGATAATGAAAATATTTTATTCCTGCTTTTCCACCCTCCCATTCACTTATTGTCTCACCTTCCATCGGAAGAAGACAGCTCACCTGATGTCTATGGAGATTCTCACTCAACCAGGTCATAGTTATCCCAAAGGTGTTTTTTCACGAGGCAACTGGACTTTCTTGTTTTTCTTTGAAGACATTTCACTTCTCATCCAAGAAGCTTCTTCAGCTCTGACTAGATGGTGGGGAATGGAAGGATTTAAATTCCTTGCAGACAGCTGGTCATTTGCATTATTTTAGAAAGTCGTTGAGGCCACCTGGAGGTTTATCTGTGTCATCAGGTTATTTGAGTGGTGCAAATGGGTGTGGAGCCTTCTTGGAAATGTTGAAAGGACTGTGTTGTAGACTAGAGATAGATGATGTCATATCCCCCCCCCCTCTGTTGAGAGAGGGCTGATCATCCTCATCGGTTTCGGTAATCTGAAAGCTCATGCTCCCATTAGTTGCAAAGCATCTCAAATTGGGGAAGTTACACATCTTTCTGGTATTGTAAAAGTTAAGCTTCTTTTGTAGTGGTGCCCAGTTGTCCATTGTCCAGAATTGAATCAGAAATAAAGAATTAGGGGAGTGAAAACAATAATGACATGAGAAGGATTT